CGTAAAATCGCCGTATACGGCCGTTTACGCCGTCGTAAATGGCCGTATACGGCTGGTCCTGGTCGCTCTAATGCTCGTTCTGGGCACTGTATACGGCCACCGTATACGGCGATTTACTGTCTTATACGGCCGTATACGGCATTGTTACGGCCGTATACGGCATTGTTACGGCCGTGAAGGTAGCGTATACGGCCTTATCATTCCTCCTTGGGGCCGTGTCCAGTTATGAATACGGCCGTACACGACCGCCGTATTATGCCGTATACGACACGGCGAAATACGGTCGGAATACGGTCCCGGGAAATACGGCGGATTTACGGCCGTTTACGGCCGTAAATCTGCCGTATACGGTAGTATACGCCGCCGTAAACGGCCGTATACGGCCGTTTCTGGTCACCGTAATGCTCGACCTGGGCATCTCTTTCGTCCAGGAGAAGGTCACGGGCTATGTTTTGATTCAAAATTTTGACCTCTGGGGTATTTAACCCTTCCTCCTCCCAACAATAGACGGTCACCCTATATTAGAAAGCCACTCCCTGTATAATACCATATCCGGGAAAAGTTCACGCTCCATTCGAAGGTCACTAATTATTAATTAATAATCTTAAAAAATACCTGTTTTTAGTGGTTTTTCATGAAATTTTCTTCCAAATTCTAAGAGTGTCTGTCTTCTGTTCTAACACACCCACATCCTAAAATATTTTGAGAATTAACTAAACGACAGAGTAAATGAAAATTGATCTTGGATATTGACTGAAAATCCAAATTATATCGATTATTAGTAATGATTATACTTCGAAATAATCGACATACAGGTCGAATGAAAAATAAAATAGTTTTAGCATCAAGACTATCAAAAATATGATAAAATACTTCTAATGGTAATGTTTGAATTGGTAGATTTGTCTTATTTGACATGGTTGATTGCAATAAACTTTGTTGGAAATTTCTATGTTTATTTCTTACAGTGGAACAGTTTGTATTGTTTCTCAATAAGATTAACCAGGTTCGGGTCAAATGATCACTTTCACCGAGAAACTAACAAATTTTAAATATGAGCTGCTCATAGCGTGTCTTGACAGAGATATTCAATTTTTAAGTTATGCACATTTTAGTATAGAAGCATGATAATATGCGAATTATTCGTATCAATATTTTAATATAATCATCAAATTTTTTTCAGTGAATGAATTTTCAAAAT